CTACAATAGAAAATTGTTCTTTTTTCATTCAGGTTCTATGCAGTCAATGTTATACTGCAGATGGAGCTTTTAATGAGGAAGAGGTTTTAAAGTTCTTGGTTAGACATTTCAGTGATATTCGACAAGACTCTGCTCAGGTACGTCTTTTGTTTACACTGCTACCCACCCCGCTTCTGTAAGGTCTGGAAAGTCGCACCAGCAGGCCGGCCTTCAGCTTTTTAGCTTAGCATATGGGAAGAGGTTTAATTTGTACATACCAGCATTTCCTCGCTATGATGATTTCAAGTTCGCAGTTTAGCTCACAAGTTACAATGGGTTTAGAAACGTGATGTATGTTCAGTTGACTAGTTTTCAAAAAATGTCCACTAATTTGTTAATTATTTTTGTGAGGATTAGTCGGTAAGGTCTATACACAACATATGTGAACTTCAAAATTGTTTTAGTTTTTACTTCTTATTTTGATCACAACAATATCCCCTCAGGCTTGTCTTTTGTTCACTAACCTCACCATTCTTGCACGTCCACCTTGGGCATAATTGGAGTTTGAAACAAATGGTTTCCTTCTTGATAAAGTGGTGAATGCATGTTGCTTCATGATTAAGAAACTCCAAAGGTGAGATTGGACAAATTTCTTTAAACATCCGGCCAATGTTCAAATTACTTTCAATGTTCCGGTGTGAGGCTCTCAGTTTCAAACTTTAGCAAAAAAATGATGACACACGAGGTTAAGCAGATGTTGTCTTTCAATGTGCACAACCAAGAATATTTCTTTAATAATATGCATTTAGTCGTTGAAACAGTTGATGCGGTAAAAATGGTTTTGCTTGTAGATCTCGCTTTAGGACAAACTTTAACTATGCGACTCGGAATTTCAGTATATGATACAGTAGTCATCATCACATAACCAATGGCACGTCTTGCTGTGCATAAGGCTTGCGCGAGTTTCATTCGTAATGATGTTTTCTGCTAAGTGTCTGGGTAACGAGGGAATTCTAGAAAAGTATTTTGCACTGCACTAGCTCATGAACTCATGCTGCTGCTTGCATGCTGAAGCACTGGTTGCGGCTATCAGTTTTTTGATCATACCCATGCATTGTAAGGCTCCTCCCGAATACAAAGTGAACGAGTATAAGGACGGAAAACTTCAGGCCATTGGAGCTCGTCATCTCAATCCAAAGTTTGCCGTTCATGCTGAGAAGGTACTCTTCCTACCATTTTTTATTGGACTGCTATTATTATCGCCCTGACTTGATTTTTCTTGAAGGTGAGTAAGCTGGAAGAGGCAGAGGAGCGTCTAAGAAAAGAGCTTGACGCTAGCCCACA